TGTAAGGAACCCAGTGGTCCCAAGGGAGATATCCAGTCCTACAAGATATTCAGTGATAGATCTGTCAATTGTTTTTGAAATTATTTTTTAAAATTAACATACTATTTGTAAAGCCTCCAATTCTAGAACAGAAATCACAAAACAGAAATTATTCTGACGCAACTGAACTGTGGAGAAGGGAGAAGAGACAGACAGTGACAGCCAGAATAGTTGTCTAACTGGTGTAGTGAGTCACAGAATGGTGGAATGGGGTTATTGAGAAGAAAGATAAAAATAAATATGGGAGATGCACAATATTTTGATTTACATAATTTGACCCTAACTTGTTCTACATTGGTCACTTTGAGATGTAGAAGTGTGATACAATCTGTGCAAATGATTCTAAGGGGACACCATAAATACTCTCTGGTGAAGGAAATGTGCTTTTCCTTCTTTCCATTAACACGAGGCACTTCCTTTGAATCACTTGATTTGTTGGACCTAAACACAACTTGTAAGCTGCTTATAAGTTTTACTAGGATTTGCTTTTGAAGGTCTTCAACTTCTGATCATTCTCTGATAAATCTAAAGATTCCCTGACTGTCTGCTTATCTTCAGTGGACTCAAGTTTAGTATAGCAGAAACATGCTAATGGATGTTGGGAAATTTTCTGTAATCAGAAGATTCCGATGCACACAGTATATTCTCAATGTGCAATGATTGAGATGAGTTGACTCCCTCCTGGATGACTAGAACGTGAGCAGTTTGGTAACCAGATTCTGCTTAAAAGCACGATCTTTTTGAATCAAAGAAGCAGTGAACTGCACTGTGAATCAGAGAACTGAGCAGAGGATATAAGATCTTGTACTTCATGCTTCTGTCCTTCCCAGTATCTCCTATCCCCCACTACTCTTGGATGCCTGGTCATTGAATTGAGGCTTCCTGCAGACTTGGTTGATCATGTGCTGCTTCAAAGTGATGAGCTAATTAGAAAGTGGTGATGAGATGTGATTTCAGTGGAAGACATGCCATAAAGCAGGCAAAAGGTCTTGTACAGCATGACATTTCAGAGGGATGTAGAGACCAGTATATCTGGGAATAGCAGAAGTAGCATCAGAAGCTGTCAGGCTAGGAAATGAAAGTCATGAAAAGAGTCAATAAACGGGAAAGTGAATCTATACCTGCTAGTAAAATAACTAGGAAGAATACTTGCACATATTTTTCAGCCTAGACTTCACATATTAATGTGATTTTTCCTTGTCTTCACAGTTACGCTTCTGGCCTTGAGATCTCTTGCAGAGTTCAAGAAGAAAGCAGTGTGGACTAAAGCTTATGGCTGGTAGCTGCTTGCAACATCTTACTATGTGAAGAAAACTGTATTTGAAAGCATAAAGTTACTTTTCAGGCATCGAGAGGACTAATTTCAAAGATGTTTCCTGTCACAAGTGGTTTCTTTCTTTTTTGTTTTATTACTATTATTATTACTTTTAATCCTCTCTCCTCTCCCAAAGACTCATATGATGAAAAAAAAAAAAAACTTTTCACTAGTGGGGTTATTCTCCTACAGACTGTCTGGCATGGTTTGAGCTGTGCTGAATCTAAACGAGAAATATGCATCCAGCTGTTTCATTTAAGTTGTTTCAGCAACACCTGGGATTTTGGTGCCTTGTCGAGCAAGTGGAAAAAAATAAAATATTATAAGAACTGCTTGGATGTGGCTTATTTTCTGAAGTGTGTTTTAAAGACTTGAATGAGTACTAGTTTTCAACTGATAACGCTTTTTACTAATAACTTGATGTCCTTGTGCAGCAGTGGCACAGGAAAGGTATGTAGGATACAGCTCCTGAAATGGGTGTTACGCATGTCAGTTTTGCAACAGCTTTATCAAGACTGTTTAAATAAGTCAGTGTCTGCTAGGACATGGGGAGCCCCCAGCTCCAGGATTACTGCAGTTTTTGCCACTAAAAATTGTTCTTGTGTCCTTTGCACAACTTTGTATACGAGAAGAGCTTTACCTCTGCAGTCTGGGGAAGAGAGGTCTTAAAGGAGGAAAGTTGTCTTCAGCAATTGTCCTCCCTAAACGAAAGCTAACTGACAATAACTGCATGTGTACTGGACTCTAATGTCTTGCAAAACTCTACTGCAAGGAAGCATTATGGCCCTTTATCTTGGAGCCAAACCCTTTACAGGAATTCTCTTAATTTCAGGGCCGGTAACATTTCTGTGCAGAAGAAATTTTCCACTGAATTCACTGTAGGCATTTCCCACCTAACAATGTGAGCTGTAAGGAACAGCTATTGGCTTTTGATGCATTGTTTCAGCAATTGGGTATGTGAAAAAATTACCACAGTGCTTGCTTGCATTTCTAAAGTAGTGGATGATAATGATAATTTCCTGCTCTGTAGGCCAGCAGTATGTGGAAAAGACAGTCTAAAGGTGAATGCACAGAAGGACTGAAACCATTATGCTCTTCAAAGTGATCTCTAACAAAGCCAAATATTTTAGTGCTGCCATCTCAAGTGTGCTATTTTAAAGTAACTTACAGCTCCACTCATCTTGAGTTTGTGTCTGCATTAACATTCTACTTCAGATGAAAAGTGTGATCATTTAAGGGGAATCTGTGGGTAACGCTCATGTGCTGCGTAACTGTTTGCATAGCGGAACAGTACACAAACTGCTGACTTGGTATATATATATCTAGTGGAAATATTCCAACATAGTATATAACTGTGTGTTAGCTCACAGAATTAAACGAAAGCTAGTTAGAAATACAACCCTCTGAAAGGCTGAGAAGTTCACTGTTGGGTATTTGTAGTATATCCTTTTATGTGTTATCACATTTCTGTTGGGCTGCTTTTCCTGGTAACGTATGCATATCCTGTGATGAAGGGAGACTGCTCCTCCAGTTGTGTGGCGGTGCTGAAGAAATGAATATTATTTTTCTTACTAGGTGATCTCTTTCAAAATAGAACATTCCTCTGGAGACAGTGACTTTCAAGGACTGAGGTGGACAAGTTAAAGTTGAAGTTTAGATGTGTGATGAGGCAGCAAAGGGAGCTGGAACAGGCAGTAGGTTGAGTTCTTGTGATTCTTGCTGGAATCTATAGGTATTCTATAGGAATTATATAGGCAAGCAAAAAGAGCACTGAACAGTGGCTTATAAAACTTAAAAAGTTTCTTTAATTTTTATATACAAATCCATTTTCACATTTCATATATATACTTATGAATTCAGTCTCACCTTACATAAGCTGTATAAAGATAGATTTTTTTAAATCTGAGACAAATGTAGATTTGCTTCTGTTCCTGAAATGAATGTTTAATGTATCATATCACTTTCTAGTGATATTCTTTCACCCTTGTTTATAGAGATGGCTCTTTGTTGTCTTTATATAGTTATGTAAGAAAAGTGCTTATTTTGTTCAAGGGTTTTATTTCCTGGAGGTGGAAAGAAGCCAGGCAGTATTTGAGGCACTTCTTTTTTTTGCATGCCCAGTCCTGACCTTTCCAGAAATTACGTAAGGTGGAGTTGAAGTTACAGTGGCCTACTGTGGTCACACATTGAAAGCTTTCTTCCCTATATCTCCCTCTTGTCTGCCCCAAGTTACCTGTGCACCAGAAATGGGGGAAGTTTACTGTAAGTAACTTCATATGCTGGAGTTCCTTCTCACAGTGATTTCAAAGAATTGTTCTGTGATTCCAGCCTTTTAGCCAGCTATTGGAATCAGTGCAATGGAAGCAGAATACTTGTTTTAATATTTTTTATATTAATTATATATATATATATATATGATATGATATATATGTATTATTATATATATAATAATTATATATTATATGTTATTTATATTGTTTTAATATTTTTATATTAAAACAAGCAAACATGAATATCTGTGCTGGGTTTGAGCAGGCTGGTTGCTGGATGCTTACCCAGCCTCCTAACCAGAACAGGAAGAAAATCTCAGAGGTAGGGCTGAGTCGAAGGCAGGGAAATTCACCATTTACCATCATGAGCAAAACAAACTTGAGTCAGGGGAAGATCAGTTTATTGCCAAATAAACATAGTGTGGTTATAAACAAATACAAAAACATTCCCTCCTACATGCTCAACTTCAATTCTTAATTCCTGTCAGGGGGGATGGGAAACAGGGATTGTGATATCACTTTGTCTTTTCAGCTGCTTTCTTCTCATACTGCACCCCTGCACTGCTGTGGGACCCCTCCTTCAGCATATGCACTGGTGCAGGCCCTGTTCATGCACTGTAGTATTTCAAGAGCTGTTCCAGCATGTGTCTTCACTGTGGAATTGGGGCCATCAAGAAAAGGCTGCTCCAGCATTTCCATGGCTTCTTCAGTGAGTCCACATCCACTGCTGCAGTCCTTCATTGCTGCACTTGGAGTTCTGCTCTGTGCCAGGAGCACCTCCTGCTGCACTGTCCTTGGCACCCACAGGGCTGCTTCTCACACATTTTCACTCCTCTCCCTCACAGCTAGTATGCACAGTTTTTAACATTTTCTTAAATAACATTTTCACAGAAGCACTACTCACAATGCTAATAGGTTCATTGGTGTCCTGTGCTAGCTGTTTTGGAGTCATCTCATACCAGCCCTCTGGCCAGGTCACAGCTGTGAACCTCTTCTAACAGAAGCCATCCCTTGTGCTGCATAAACCCAATATAAGATGTCATGTTTCCTCCTACAGAGTCACTGAATAGTTGGAGGGGATCTTGAAGATTCTCCAGTTCCAACCACCTGTTGTGAGCGGGTCTGCTTCCTACCAGCCCAGGCTGCCCAGGGCCTCACCCAATTTGGCCTTGAGCACCCCTACGGACGGAGAATCCACAATTTCTCTGGGCAGCTGTGCCAGTGCCTCACCATCCTCTGAGTATTCTAAGAACTTCTTTCTAACATCTAACACAAGTCTATTCCCCTCTACTTTAAAGCCAGTCTCCCTTGTCCTGTCCCTGTCAGACCATGTAAAGAGTCTGTCTCCTCTTGCTTATAAGCTCCCCAAGGTACTGGAAGGCTGCAATGACATCTCCCCAGAACTCATTCTTCTTCAGGCTGAAAAAGCCCAGCTCCCTCAGCCTCTCTTCATAAGAGAGGCTCTTCCACCCTCTGACCACCTTCACAGCCCTCCTCTGGACCCACTCCAACAGCTCCACATCCTTCCTGTACTATCAACTCTGGTTTTAGATCAAAAAGGTTCAACTGAATCACCAAGAGGGTAAATGTCCGTGTTTCACTCTGCATATTACAGTGTCATCCGATTGTGAAGTGTTCCTGTTTCAACTCTGTCCTTTGAAATTGCCATCAACTTTCAGTTGCTTATCCTTTTCTTTGTTCAGACTGTCTGCATTTGGAGTGGTTTGGGTCAGGCAAAAGTCCAAAGTGAAAGTACCTCTGTTTCTGTAACAACATCTAAATTACTAACTCTTGTCTGCAGTGCTTTCAAAATACCCAGGGTCCCAATTAAACTATTGCATGTAGGATCCCGTTGCTTATGGTTTGCATTATATCCCAGTGGTCACAATAGTCTGCAGGCATTGTCTGCCACGTATATTAAATAAAAATTATAGTAGGTCAAGACCAGTCTCACTTGTCTGCTACTTAAAACAGTCTGAACACCCTCTTAAGAGCATGGTTTAGAAAGTTATACTAACAGCCTCTCTGTAATCTGATAGTGTTAATTTCCCCTTCAACTCCTCCATTGTTTCCCCAGTTTTCATTCAACTTAAAAAAAAAAAAAAAAAAAAAAACCTCAGTTTCTCCCCCAGCTCCATGAAGTAAAATGAAGGTATGATAGGCAATATGGATGAAACATAAGAAACATTCCTATGTAGTTATTTCTGCAGCAAGTACAGTCTGTTTTATCCTTTTTACAGGGTTTCCTGGGCTGCCATATGTTCGTGACTCCCAAATTCAAAAGACTATGCTCTGGTTGCTTCCTCACAAGTCCAGTAGAAGTAAAAAAGGGAGTGAACTTAAGTAAAACTGGTAGAATTTTGCATATGACTTTTTTGATGGTCAGTATTTTCACATTATCAACTCACACTTCTATTGCTTATCTGTTTGCTGTTCAGCATGGAAGAAAAATCACATGAATGAAAAAGATTCTCAGTGTCTACCAGCACAGTGATTATAAGCTTTTCTTGGATATTTCAGTACCCGAGTACCTGATCATTTGCCCTCATGGTTTACTTTGCTGGAATCTCTTTGGCAGAATGGGCCAGAGTCAGGGGTCTTTTGTGAATGTCTGAGGTAATCAGCATATGAATCTCATAGGATGCAAAGCTTCCAGCTTCAGCTCTTTGAGAGATCCCCATTATAGCCAATTTATATATAGAAGGCACATACATGCTTGCTTAATATAATACATTAAGTGTTGTTGTTGTTGTTACAGAATACCCGATGATGATGAAGCAAGAATTAACACCAAAATAAGGGTTGTTAGTGTAACTGCGGTGAAGGCACTCTTCTGTATTTTTTTTCCTGAGTCCTCTTTTATTAGAAAAATATTCATTTTTAAAAATCCTGACAATCGAAGTCAAAACTTTCAAAAGTAACAAGTTGGAATTCCAAGCTGCTCCATTTTTGAGGAGCACTAGAGATGTTTTTTTTTCTGAAGATTCAACACAGCTGGATGACGTGCATGCAAACAGGATTTATGCATGGAAAACCTTTGTCTCTTTTTCTCTGCCTATGACATGTACTAGCCCTCTGGGAATAAATTTCGTATTTCAAAACAAAGTATCAGCTTAGCTTCTTTTCTTTTTGGAGTTGCCTGTCTCTAGGTGAGCCTTCCTTTCTGAGAAGAGGTTCCGGATGATAAAGCACATACCTGAATTAAAACACAAAATGGTGTAAGAACAAGGGAAGGTAGTCCAAAGCACCCTCAGTTCATGTAGGAGGAATAATACAAGCCTTTGTATGGCAACTCTGAACAGTCCCTTTCATGAACATAAAATCTGAACACTACATTACAATGACGAGATTCTTCCAATTAGCCTCAAAGCCAATAACAGAACAAAGGCTTAGCCGCAAGGTTAGTTGTAGTCCAAATTTTACAACAGTACACTGCTGTGAAGGAGAAAAAGCTCAGTTTATATGCAATTTTTGGCTTTTTTAAAATCCACACAAGTTTTAATATAGATGTAAGTCTTCACATCAATTGAGAGTAATGAGTGAGAAAGCATAGCACAGAATATGACCAAATAGGAACTGATTAAAAAGAAAACTTCCAAAGTTTGTATAAGGCTAAGATAATTTAAGAACTTTATATACGTATATATACGTATTTATATATATATATATATATACGTATTTATATATATATATGTATGTATATGTATATTTATATATATGTGTGTATATATATATATATATATCTCCAACACACACACCATGTTTCTTGCAAAATCAATTATTTGTGTATAAAAACATCTGAATTCAAATCAACTGGGCATGAGCCATCCTGCAGTACCCTACAGGAGGTATTGCAAAGAAAGTTAGTTACTGAAAGGAGCTACACTGATTTGATTGTGATTTTTAGTTGTCAAGGGCACTACACTTGTGTTGAGACCTGGCTTTCTGAAGGATGAGATACTTACCTGTAAACAGCACTAGCAGGTACATTTTCAGAACATAGGGGAAGTAGACTGAGAAGGCAAATGGAAATGGCAGCTTGACGGAGTATGTGCCAAAGGTTTCAAAATAAGGCAGTGATACACAGATCACAAATGCTGCAAAATAACATGGTAAGCCTTTAGTCAAAAGAAGTGGAAGATCATCATAAAAAAGATCAATAAGGCACAGATAACCATACTGTATGCTGAATTTACCACGTCATTTATGTGCACAGGCATACATTCCATGAGTTCAGTTTTGTAGGTCTGAGGGTTCTATTAACACAAGAATTAGGAGATTTTACTATTCGTAAAAAATTCTGCCACTGCTGCAGCTGTGCTGCTGCCTATATGATCTCAGTGGGCACATTTCCCAATGTAGGCATGATAAGTGGCTAGGAAAGCTAAGCTGATAGTGTCGGCCTCAGTGGGGAAAAAAAGCAGCACTGTTATTTGTAGGCTAACACAGTCAGTCTGGCATCTGTGTGTTTTACCATACTCTTAAAAAACAGAGAACTCCTAAAAAGAAAGAAGTTACAGAAAAGACAGGTGACACAAAGGTTAATTAGACTGTACAAAAACATTTATGTCTGCTTTGGCAACACAGAAGTGTCTTAGAAATACAAATGACAATTCAACAGATTAAATTTTATTGGAGAGGATATAAATTAATCTGTGTTGGTCCCCCATCCCATCTCCGTACCTTTAGCCAGAACTGAAAGTGGATAGAGCAGGATGCACAGTGAGAAGTTCAGCCATGTCAGTGGTAAGTACTGTATTTCCATCCTTGCCAACATGTTGTAAGTGTACCTACAGCAAGAGGAAGAGTAGGTGATTTCAGATGGAATAAGCATGTCTTTAAAGAAGCATTACTGAAAAATCTGAGGGGGTTGCAGAACAGTATGGGATTATCCATCTGAGAATATTTCAGAGCATAACTTCAGAAATCTTGTTCATACTCTCATTCAGGTTGAAAATGGATGGTTCACAGTTTTCAGAAGTGTTATTTGCAGTGCTAACCTGGAGCAGGCAGACAGCAAGACTGCTCTCCAGCCCAAAGTGCACACGATTCCAACTCAGTCCATCAGACAACAGATTTCAGATGGGCACATTACAAGAGAGGGGCATGTGCAGCAAGACTGCTGGTTGGATTAAGAAAATGCTGATATATGTCTGCTGGAATGGTTACAGCACTGCTAGAGACTGAACAGCTGAGTGCACACAGGTATTCACTCTTCTGTAATATGGCTGCCCCTCCCTTGGGCCTCAGAAGGTACAAAAAATATATATATATAGTAGTAACACTCCAATGCACTTCAGCATTTTATTCTTACTGTGGCTGCTGATGTTGATGTCTCCCACGAGGAGACCTGAATGCCTAGGACCTCAGTCTCCAAAAGTGAGCTAAAGATAGAGAGTTTCTGTGACCTATAAGTAATAAATGGCTTTCCGGACAGTGCAGAAGCTTGTCCATTCATGTTTTTGGCCTGAAAGGCTCTTTGTCCTGTGGTAATGCTAGAGATATCTAAAAAAGGATAAACCAGTGTTAACCAGAACTGTTTCTGACAGATAAAGCCAGCATTAAACAAACCTCATATATCTTCTACTAATTAATTAGACTAATTCCTGGAATGTAGGAGACTGGCAGGCTAGAAATGTATCAGTTTCTCTCAAGCTTATCCTATAAAACTTCTCTCTTTTTTAAGTTAGTGATTCTAAGGCTTAACCTCAATCCAGTGGAAAAGGCGACAGCTACTCCCTCTCTATATACCTCCCTGGACTGTCTATGATATAAGCAAGAAAGCTCAGATATGGAAAACTTTGCAGTATTTGCCATCAGTGTATCATTAGCCCTAATGCACGCGGTATTTATGTCCCTAAAGAACTGTGTGCTAGAGTTTGGTAATACTTCAAGACTCATGTGCTGAGAGATGGAATAATGTATAATGCTCCTCTGAGTTGCTAGACCACAGCACAGATGTTGTAAAATAAACCAATTAAGATGTCTAAGTCAGCAGGAGTTATTTTATGCATTCATGTTTTAATTGTACACTTGCTGCTTGCTGCTTCCAACCACTATATCCTATCTACCTATCAAAGAGCCACTGTTACTGCCATAAAGTTGGATTCTGTTGTTCAACAATAATGTAAAATAATTATGTATTTACAGGACTATTATGCATCAACAGGACTGTATAGCCAATATTATTTACACTTTTGGCCTCTCCCTGGCTGTGCAGATTGTTTTCATTTGAAATTAAGTTCTACTCTGTTGGCTTTACTAAATTAAAAAATAAATAGAGTGGTGATCCAAACAAGATAACAAGTGGTTTATTAATGCATGTAGTACAAACAGATTTTATTTCAGCTTCAGACTTTCTTATCAATCCTACCAGCTATTTTCCTTTTCCAGGTCTGTTGTAACAAACATTTCTTCTATTGCTCAAATACCTACTCCCCAGTCAGCCCTCAAAATGATGTATTCGAAATAGCAGAGGACTATTTTAGATGGATAGGCAGTGTGTAACCCATAAAAAAATCTGCTCCTGTTGGGAGGTTATCATGTAGGCTTTGCCTTGTTTGAATGCTTAATACCATCTACCCTCCTTGCTGTCAGTCTACCAACTGAGGCTCACAGAAGCTTAAGTAACATTTGAAAAACGTTACTGACTGCACATATCAAAGCAAAAATCAGCAAGATGGAATTTGCACTGTTATATTACACCATGGTCATCACACAAATCTTTTGAGATAAAAATCCTCAACTGTGTTGTGTCCTTTTTGTCTCTTGTGAGTTCTCCCTATGCGTGTAGCTACACCAAAATTCTCGCTCTCTGTAGCAGGAGCTCCGTGGCTTTCCATATAAAGCACAGTGCAATTAAATGCAGAATAACTTTTCAATCTCAGGAATAACTTCTGCAGGTGCTGCCTTACTGTGCCAACTGTCTTGATCAACATGACATATTAAAACAAATAGCTGTGCCCTTAATTACTAAAGCAATGGGATTGTAAATCACACTGGGAAACTGCCATTCCTCAGTAGATTGCTAGGATTTTCTTCATTCTTTTTGTTAAGAAAGTCCTTTGAACTAGAAATGTTAATGCACTGATTTGCTTCTGTAAATTGCTCTGTCTCTCAGATATGTCAATTATTATAAAAATTAGTAAGCAGCTTATCAAGTCTAACCTTTTTTTAAAATAGAAAAAAACTTTTTTTTGACAATTTCAATATAGTGAAATGATGAACCTACAACACAGTGGTGAGGCTTTTTTTGCAAGAACAAACCACTTTCCCTTCACAGTTTCACTACTGACTTCTTACCTGACCATATCTAATAAATTCCAAAGGAAAAATAAAACACACACAATGTATTTCCCTTGAACTTCTTCCTGACTGTTGATCACGACAAACAACACAATTATTCTCTCAGTGATCTGAAAGGAAAAAAAGAATTGTGAACTTGGGCTAGCATCTTCAATAACTCTCATTTATATGCTATTTTAGCAAAACTGTATGCCAGACAGCACTAATGTCACATTCCCAGCACTGTTTCCATAGCTTGGAGATCTGAATCTTGAAGGATCTCCCTCACGGGAGATTTCCAAAAATTAGGATGAAAAGTTAAATTACTTGGTTTTCTTCCTTTCTTATTCCTGGATAGAAGAAATGGTTTTTACCTCATCGTTTATATCAATTGTTGACATAACATTTATGACATAACATTTTCCTAATGGCTGACCCTTAGCTGATCCAAAAGGTATTCCTTTACAAATGAAAAGATATAAAATAGATTGAACAGGCAGTGCTCCAGCTTAAAACATATTGTAGCAATATTACAGCTCAATAATTTAAAAATAAGTGTGTTTTGTTTTTTGGGGGGGGTTTTGCAAGTAAAAGAAGTGGAATATTGAATGGGATTGTGTGCTGCAGAGAATAAATAGAAAAGAAACTGAGTTAAAAGGATTTTGGTGAAGAATGGTAAAGGAGTACAGTGCTGGTACTGGGGGCAGTTTGTTACAGACCCTAAAATCAGGCTGTGCTGTGGAGAGAGAATTCTGCAATTCTGTTAGTGTGAAAGATACTTCAAGGAATTGCCACAGGGAATGTCTCACCTGAAGACAAAAGTTTTATCACAACAATGAAAAGTTCAACACATTTTTCTCTGTGAGAGCTGGCAGATTTTCCAAAGAATCACTTGCTAATCAGGACGTGGTGCTGGGTGGAAAAGTGCTACAAAAAACAGAGGCTGAGTGGCTGGAAACTGATGCCATTCCAATGAGGCAAGAGGACATGCAGTAGGATGCCATTCCAATGAGACAAGAGGACATCCATCCCCAATCTCAGAACGATGAGCACTGGCCAATGTAGCCAGTATTAACAGAGCAGCTTCATGGTCTCAGAGCAGGAGTGGCTGTGGTGCTCCTCTCCTTGGGCACAGACTGATACACAAGAGGCAGCAAGTACTGTCTGACTGGAGCTCAAAGACATATCCTCCACCACAGGACTCTTGTTTGGAAAGGACAGAGCTGGGGAAATAAGCCACCTTGACTGCACAAAATGAAGCCAACGATCAGACTGTAAAGCAGGTTAAGTGCCTGCAATAGTGGGGAACTGACCATGACAGAGCAGGTTCTGGGCAGGTCTTCTGCTCCTGCTAAACACCAGTCTCAGCCAACATGCCGTGAGATGCACAAAGCAGCCATGGAGTCTGAAAGTGAAAACCACCCGTGGTCTTGCAATGGAGCAAACTTGTGAGGATACTCTTGTGAGCATGCAAGTCTAGCTGCCAGTGTGCTTGTGATGGCTTCAGGAAGATGGACAGCATACTTCATTTCCACACCAACAAAGAGGTTGCCTTTCTACTTATACCTACTCCCTGTCAAAACACTGTGCCCTTTTCTTTCATAGCACTCACAATTTGGGTTACCCATTCAAATGATGGGATAGTGAGAGTCCAGAGAGATCTGAAGCAAGGGAAAGGACACAGTGCTACCTGAGGAAGAGGCACTTCCAGGAAATGTCACTTGGTGTGAGCCTAGGCACACATATCTGTAATTGTGTAAATACATATGTGTGCACACATACACGAATGTATATACCTAGGTTTACATACATATACAAACTGTTAAGATGCAGCTCATTTGTATAGATCATCTGTCTCTTGCACAAATGAAAATACATCCTTTTCTGTCACTACTCCCTTAAAAAAAAAAAAAGTAGCAAAACCAGAAGTCCAGTGTTTTCATGTTCAGAAAAGGGAAGTATGTGCTAACACATCACAAAGCATAAATAAAACGGTTTCATTTTTAATTCCTTCTTGATCTTTGTGTTAAACTGGAGTTTCCTTCCTGTCCCAGCACTGGTCTCTCACAGGATACAGCAAGTGCTGTAGAAGAGGGTAAATTTGCACAAGGCAGCCTGGGCATTTAAATAAGTAAGTGAAACAGAACAGATCAGACTAGCTGAGGCTTGGGCAGGAGCAGGTTTGCACATTCACTTCCATTTACTAACAACAGTGACTATGCAGTATCATTAGTACCTGAAACTCTTAGAAACACCAGTCTTTCCCTACATCTCTTGCTGAAGTACCAGTGCCATCTGTTTTTACTCCCTGGGCAGAAGAATACTACATTTCACTGCTTTGGCAACTGCAATGACACGTGATACCCTGTCTCCTGGCCTCTTCTCAGTCACCCAGTCTGCAAATGCCATGAGGGACATTCATTTGCACCAGCTTTGTGGCCCTCCCTTCACTTCCCTTTCTCAAGAGCACCCATCACATGAGAACTGTCTTTCTTTTGCTGTGTGGCTTGGCCTTGACCTACCTTCTTCTCACAATTCTGGCGGTCTGAAACTGTCCCTCAATGAGGCTGTCCGAAATTGGTTTTTCTGAAAACACCCCTGAGCTTGCTTTTGCACTGTCTGTAATGTGTATCTAGACGTGTTCCCTGCAAATTCTTCATTCACACTCCACTAAAAGCTTCTTTCTGCAATATAGTCTGCAGAAAAATCAGCTGTCACAGGGTTGCATTTGTAGCTGGTTTTATTGAAGGTGATGTTACCTCTGTCCATGTGCTCCCACAGCACTGCCATTGCCACCTGTTCTCATCTCTGAGATGAACTTAACTGTGGATGTGCATGAACATGCACACCCCCAGGGATGCATCTAAGGATACTGTTTACACTTACAGTCAGAACCAGCAATGGAAAAAAAGAACTGCACAACCACTACCAAATTATTGCAGCCTTACAGTGCACTATTGGCAGTAGCCCAGCAGGCTGTGGTAGGATAAGCCTCTCTACCATTTTTTCCCAGTGCATTATGGAAAATATCTCCTCTTCCCAAGATGCAGAGGAAGACATGGCAAAGAATTAATGTAAGCACACAGATGCCTAAGCTGTACTGTCACAGCAAAAACAGACCAACACAAATGAAAACAGCCTGTATTCAGAAGTCTGTGCACCTTATCTGGATAGCATGAAAGTGATGTTAATATCAAGATAAGACAGTTTTTTTGAGGGGGAAATAGCCAAGTAAAGATCCAAATATATCTTTACCAAAGGGCAAACGCTGAGAGTCACAGTGCCAAACCTTTCCCTGACTCACCTTGTTAATGTTGCCCTGGATAATACTGCACTATGGCAGTACCCAAGAAAGATCACTGTTTTCTCGCTCACAGTTCACATCTGCTATCTTCTGTGCTGGCTCACAGCAGTGTGTGTGCAGGCTTCCCTGATCTCTGCTTCCATTGGGATGAGTGTGAAAAGAACGGACCATGTCAGGGTTAAGGAATGTGTAAACTCTGCCTGGGTAGACCTCACTCTAATGCCACGCAGGCTTACTGGACTGCTCTTCTCTCCAAGAAATGATATGAAATTTTTTAAAGGATTATACATATATGAGATTGGATGCTTTTAAAATAAAAAAAAAAAAAAAAAAAATCCTGATTAGTATAAGAATGTATGGATTTAAGCAGGGAGAAAAAGCAGTTAATTGTTTTTGGCAAATTTGATACCATACTGCATGAGCAGCATGAAGAACAGAGATCTCTACCAGTCAGTCCATCTCTAATGGAGATTTTAAAAGAGGAACATCTTCACCCTTGTAATATGTCACTTGGCAAAAATGGACTATTCAGAAAACTAAAAACACAACTAACTTACTCTTAGTCTTCTACCTTCTGACTGCAGAGAGCAACACTAGTTTCACCATTATTCAAATGTTAAAGATTAGAAAGATTTGAAGGTAAATTCAAGTCAACAGTTTTACTTTTTCTGATGCATTAAAAAAAAAAAAATTCCAAAACCTAGTTGAACTCCCAACAGAAAGCAAGAGGACAGTATAAAAAACACCAGCAAACCACAGAATTACAGGGGCTGGAAGGGACCTCAAGATATCATAATGCTCAACCCGCTGCTAAAGCAAAATAAATCACACAGGTAGACATCCAGACCTTTCAGAGTAGCATGGCTAGTTCAGAATTACATATGTTGTAGAATACAGCCAAGGACATACCTGCAAAAACCTGGGGAAGAGACGGCTTTTATCAATGCCAATGAGAATGTGTAGGATCTCCAGTACAGATAACAACTGACAAAGGCGCATCACAAGCCCAATGGAGTAAAATGTGTCGGCCAATGAATCTACAGGCAAAATAAAGAAGAAAATTGGAATTGGTTACAAAGAAAAAATCCAGACTAACTGCTGAGTTTGATTCCACCTGTTGCACCTGGAAATTACAAGAAATAGAGTTTATATTGTACCAAAATTTCAGGTAGCAGAAGCAGAGATTTAGAGAGGGAAAAAGGCAGCCTGCTGTGTCTGCAGATCATAGAATCACAAAATCACAAGGTTGGAAAGGATCAAAAAGATCACCCAGTTCAACCGTCCTCCCATTACCATTGCTACCACAAGCTACTAAACCAGATCTCACAGCTCCTCATCCAGACGCCTCTTGAACACTGCCAGGGACGGCAACTCCACCACCTCCCTTGGCAGGCCATTCCAGTGCCTGACCACTCTCTGAGAGAAGTTGTTCTTCCTTATGTCTAACCTAATCCTCCTCTGGTATAACTTGTGGCCAGTTCCCCGGGTCTTGTTTGTTGCCTGGGAGAAGAGGCCAAACCCCTCTTCACCACAACCTCCCTTCTGGAAGTTGTAGAGTGCAATGAGGTCTCCCCTGAGCCTCCTCTTCTCCAGACTAAACAACCCCAGCTCCCTCAGCCACTCCTCATAGAACTTGTGCTCCAGACCCTTCAACAGTTTCGTTGCCCTTCTCTGGACAAGTTCCAAGGCCTTGATGCCATTCTTGCAGTGAGGGGCCCAAAACTGAACACAGTACTTGAGGTGCGGCCTCACCAGTGCTGAGTACAGGGGGATGATCACCTCCCTGCTCCTGCTGGCCACACTATTTCTAATGCAGGCCAGGATGCCGCTGGCCCTGTTGGCCACCTGGGCACACTGTCAGCTCATGTTCAGCCGAGCATCAACCAACACCTCCAAGTCCCTTTCCTCTTCACAGTCATCCAGCCACTTGTCCCCAAGCCTGTAGTGCTGCATGGGGTTGTTGTGGCCAAAGTGCAGGACCCGACACTTGGTCTTGTTGACCCTCATCCCATTTGTCTTAGCCCAGCGATCCAGCCTATCCAGATTCCTCTGAAGGGCCTCCCTACCCTCAGGCAGATCTCACACAGAGGCAGGAAACAGAGAGAAGAATGAGAGTGTCTATATTTGATGCACTGGCAGACACTGCACAGGATATGTTGGTTCACAGATATCCCTTTAGGATATTTCTAAACATGAAAAAGCATAAAATATGGGGAGATGCTGAAGTTCCTGCCTGTATCTGTACCCATGATACCTCCTAAATCAACAAGACCACAAAATATGTATGTTATGTATCCACAACTGCCAAAACTATTTTGAATTTCCAGTCATTTGTTTTCTATTTTTGTGCATTAACTTCAGACAACTAAAACTGAAAGAGAAATATGCTGTGAAGTTTTGGGAGATGCAAAGTTGTGTGCAGTAATTACAAAGATCTTCCCTCCCAGTGGCTTCAATTGGACTGATACTCACTATAATGACTTGACCTATTCACATATAGGTCTGCATCTAAATCAAATGTTGCTGGCACTGAATATTAAAAAGCTCAAATTTTGATGCAATATACAAGTAAATTGTTCATCCTTTTTAATGAAAAGAAACAATGCTTTTCTTAATTAAAATTACAGCCCATGGTATTCGACAGAGCTATATATGTCTACATTTTGTTAAGTTTCTCTATACTACCGCCTTCTAAAATATTTAAGGGAAATACAGAACGAATCCTACCTTTTCCAAACGACATGTACCTGATGATCATATTTGTAAATATCCAGGAATGCCCACAGAATTGCATCAGGTCATACACAAAGAGGTAGGTCTTCACGGTAAAGCTGTGGAGGTGAAAATGTTAAAGCAAACTGTATTATTTAAATACAACTCCAAAAATAATGCCTTCCACTTAACTCCATGGAAATTAAAACAGATGCAAAGAGCACAAAAACGCTATTTGATAGAGCAAATTCTCAGCTGTGTCATTCTGCACACTTTCAAGTTACATTTAATAAATTGAATCATCTGTTGAAACAGACAAATTTTTACAGATATTCTGATTTTATTTTAATAGATAATCACAGAATCACAGAATGTCAGGGATTGGAAGGGACCTTGAAAAATCATCTAGTCCAAATAATCTGATTATAGAATGCCATAGGTTCTGGAGATATTTAATTTCAATTCCCATAAATACATTTTCTTCTCACTTATTTTGTAGAGGGATGATTGTCTGTCTTCCAGCTACAAAAAGGACTATCTTTTTTGGAAATGAATTTATTAATTTTTTTTATTAGAATTCATCACAGTGTGTTTCACCAATTGGTTCTCTGTCTCAGTAAGTACTAAGATCTCTTGCTCCTTGATCCCATGTGTTTGTGTCATCCTGAAATGTCTGCCACCAAACGTTTTCTCCTTTATGTCCACACATAAACAAAGTGAATTTCTATGCTTTGGAATATCTGAACATTATAAATGAATATAATTCATTCCCAATATTGTACTAAGGTTATAAATAACAAGAATATGGATGGTTGTGTTGTTTTGTTGGTGGTATTTTTGTTGTTGTTTTCCAAACTGACTTAGTTAATCTGACCTAGATTTTTAATCAAAGTATATCCTATGGTTATCATAGTAAATGCCTTTCTTCCTCTCTTCCTGATACACAGGATGGCTGCTATTCCAATAATTACTTCTACAAGCACAGAAGGATTTGCTGGCACAATTTGCCTCCAAAGAGATATCAATGCACTTTGATACTATGAAAGTAGGACACTGAAGGTCCAAGACAAGAGATAATCCGTAAACTTTTATTTTGTGAAAACTATGATACAGCTGAATTGGACTGAAATCCAGTGAGACCAAGTGACCTAAAATTCCACCTGCTTTCTTGCTAGACATGTGGTAAAAGAAAAAAAAAAAAAAAAAGAAAAACAAGTGGGATGCTGTACATGGCAAAAAGACAAAAAAAAAATATATATTGTTGGGATTTACTATCTTATTACTGTAGCCTGTAATGGTAGGAAAGTTATAGAAATCATCATAAAAATTTTAAGGCTTTCCAGTCAGCATCTCTGCCAGTCCGTTTGGCCCCATACTGCCATGTGGGCTTTGCACTGAGTACATGGTCTCTCTCTTCTTCTGGAGCTTATCACATCTGCTAAATCTATCTCTTTTCCTCAGAACTTGTCTTTCAGAAGTTCAGGCTTTTATTTTCTGAATTCTTCTTCCATCCACTGGCTAGATATTATCATATTAGCAATTTTTAAACAGCCTAATCTTAGCTAAGCAGAATGTAACCAAGATGTTTGTAACTGCAGCTTCATGCTAGCATTTAGTTGTTACGGCACCCATTCTGTGTTAAACTCATGACCTTTTAAATGTACATGATGTTGTTATAGAGAGCCCCATTATTGCCCATGAAGCATAGAGAAGTGCTGGCAGGAACTGTGCTATTTTGTTACCTGGAAGACTGATCTCTCATGTGTTGATGTTCTTTGAGTGAAGGAACTCTCCTGATCTCAAAATGGGGTTTCATCCCACTGTGTTAATACTTACACAAAAGTTACCAAGACCAAAGAGATTACTTTGACAGATGCGAATAAATCTGCAAAGAATAAAAGGTAGTATCAGTTTAATCACAGGAAATGGAAATGTAATTGTTCCCTGTGATCTTCCTCACCTACAGGGTGTTAAGGCCAGACCCTTCTCCTAGGTAATCAGGAGCAGATTGAAGTTAACCTATCACCCTGTTCTGTCAGTTTTGTGTCACAAGATAAAGTTCATCCACATGCTTCTGTTTGACTGGCCACTGGCAGAAGAGATTTTAATTAGAGGTTTTAATTAGATTTCCTTCTCTGCTCAACTCACAGCAGGCACCACTCCACATTCACCTCACAGAGCCTGTGGCTGCAGCACCCTTGCAGGAAAAGCATAGACCAGCAAGTCCAGCAACTGCCTGTGGACAGCAGTTCAGTTTAGGCTCACTGACTGACCTTGCCAATCTCATTCTGCCTCCTCAGTGCCTGGTTTGCAAAATGGAGTTTCTACTGCCTTTGTTGTCTGTAGTATGGTGCACTTCAGTGCTTCCAGATTGCTTTTAATGTTTCTCAGACTGAAGGCATTGCACATCACAGTACTCTGATAACAGGTGAAAGAAAAAGACATGGGACTTGCAGTAAAGAGATACAGAAGGTCTGTTGTTTTGGTTTTCAATTCCACATTACCTACTGTGACTTATTTTATAACACATACACTGAAATGCTAGCAATCAATACTGCCTTGCATAGTGGCAGTGCTCACCTTTCCCTCTCTGGCTCTGAGCTGGAAACCTAGAACCCTAGGTGAAACACTGGTTTTCTGATCTTATTCTGATCTTATACAGGCAAGACGTTCTGAAGCTTCTTTTCCTCCCTGCTGCTCAGCAGCAGAACCATGACACCGTGGCTGGGCAGCGGGTCAGCCTGCACCTTGTTCAGTGGCTGTGCCAAATGAGGCCTCCCCCAGGGGTCCACCCTTCCCAACCAGGGCCTATGTGGGCTGGGCGCTTCCCTGCCACGGCAACAGCTGCACTCCTGGTTGCATTCCCTGAGCCCAGACCGGCTCGTTGCACGTGACAAAGCAGCCCTTGCCTTGAAACCAGGCAACAATGTTTTTTTAGATTTATTTAATTCTCTAGAAAAGGTCTGCTAGAAAAGCCCCTTCACGGTTTCCTTCTAAGTCACACTGGTCTGAACTTCTGCCCCTTCCCCCTCCCACCCTGTGGGAAGCTGCAAGTGCTGCAGCTCAGGAAGGAGAGCTGCTGAGACCCTGCACGAAAGACATGCTTTTCTCTCACAGGCAAATCCCGCTCTGCTTTGTTTTTCCTTCCTTTTCCTGATGAGCAGCCTAGGACATCTCTGCACAAGGGACATTACCTGTCGCGGGGGTCAGACTGCTGCAACTGCTCCTGATCTTCCTCCTTTTTTCTCTTCACAGCTGCAGCAGCTGTTCGCTGGGATATCACCCCTCCTCTTTCCTCTTCCCCCACCCACAACGTCACTCTTTTGTAGCACTAAGCAGGAACAGTACTGCACTTCCGAGAAGGGAGTTTCTAACCTCAAACGTCTCCACGCTGCCAGCCATGCTCCTCACACAGCCTAGCCCACCCTACTCTCACCTGGCCCAGCCTAGCCCAATTTATCCTAACTTAGCCTACTGTACCCTACCCAACCCTAACCCAACCTTGCCTAGCTACTTCAGGCTAGCCAAGTCTAACTTGATCTAAATCTAATTTGGCTTTTTCCCTGCACCAATAAGCTACTCTGTAAATCCCACTAACTTCGTTTTCCAAGACAGGGCAATATTTTGAGTGATCACTCAAACGCAAAATTATTTTTTTTTCTCTTCTGGTTAAATAGTCAGTGCTACAACAATGCTAGCAAGGAAGGCTGGCAGCATAGCATAAAGGGGGCACTTTACTTCAGATAGAGGAAATAATTTTCCATTTCTTACCCAGAAGTATCTATTAATTCATGCCCCTGTGAAATATGGACACTACTGACAGGGGAAATGCATATGTACAAGATTCCTGCTGCCCTTAAGTCTTTTGAATATCTCAATATAAATTAGATGAAAATCATCAACAATTATTATAATAATATATAAACTGCCTTCTGGCAATCAATATTTTCCCACTCACACTCACAATGAAGCATATCCCACCTTACAGGAGGTTTAAAGTTTAGTACTGTGAAAAAGTCACCAAGGACATAATGACTATATAGTAGGATTTCATGCAAAAGTACAAGAAGTCTGGGGGATGCTATCCTATGTCTTGTCTGCAAGTAGTGTGGAGCAACCACCTCCATCCTGCCATGTCCCAAAGAGGCAAGAATTCCCTCCCTCCATGCAACCAGGTGATTTCTCTTGGGGGGATTCTGTGTTTTCCCTGGCTGCATCTCCACTCCTGGTACCTCCATGGTAGGGTCACACAGGCATGCAGAGCTCTCCTGCTGGTGTGGTACTCTCTTCTACGTTTTTTTCTTGGCTAAGTATTCATTTTTTTAGGAGAAAATAATAGATCAGTATTAAACAAATGGCTAAGCAAATAAGTTAAACAGACGGTTATTGAAATGCTCTGCCGCTAGTTCTTGCAACACGGCTCCTGTGCTGCGTGCCTCTGTGAAGTCGACTGGTGTAACTAACCCTGCCAGCAGCTGAGATCATGACTGTAATAAGATCCAGCAGCTTTCAGAGCAGCTCTTTTCAAATACCAGGACAACATGTAAAAAGCAACAAAGGCTCATCCAGCTTCATGATTTGCAAAATCCATTGTGGATAAGTGCCAAGTTAGCACTGCTATGGAAAAAAAGAGCACCCACAGTTCCTGATAGATGTGCTCCCCATGCCCTCCCTCAGCACCAGTGCCAGCCACCCACAGCGGAGACTGGCATGAGGCATTTCAAGGAAAAAAGTCCCACCTCATCTGCTTGTCTTTCAACATCTATAATCAACCATTTGTATTTGCCACCTTTCAGAATGGTCCTTCTCTACTGTAGGCATGGATATGTCTTTTCTTCACCACTGCCCTGCAGCTGGAGTGGAGCTCCACTGGAAGGAAAAGAGGGGCCAGAGACAGCCTTCTGGTAGCTCATACCCAGATCTCCCAAAGTGTCACCTGGAGGACACATGACACCATTACTCTCTTTACTTGTTCCTGATCTGCCCTCTAGATTAACCTTGACACTCAAAACCTGCCCTACAGCTTGATAAAAATTTGGGGTATTCACTATTTTCATTGATCTGTCAGACTATATGCTACTGCCCTAGATGGAGGTAATTGGCCGAAGACTTCTGACTATGCTTTCAGCATAGGAGAAACATGCAAAACACATTTCTGTAACTCAGCACTATTCTTTTGCAAGGACTCTTATCAGGCCTCCTGATCTCTACCAGTCACTTTTCAGCAGATAGATTTTGCAGAGGGAGGCAATGAAAGGATCAACTGAGTATTAAAGACCTACCAAGCTCTGCAGTGAGTCATGAGTCTCTGTGCTCCAGCTCACTGCCCCCAGTTTTACTGGGATGAGATTAACAGACCCGTCAAATCATCGGGAAGAATTAGTACTCAGGGAAATTCCCTTTTTTTTGGCGTTAGCTATTACTAAGTCACTTACTACAGAAGTTGTGTAATAGTTTTCAACACTTTCAGGAGACTGTTACCCTGCTATGGGGAACTCAGAAGGAACAGGAAATGTGCTAGTGACCAAATCCTTTCTGAATACAAGTCAATAGCTGTGACAGGCTTTGAACCTTGCCCAAAGGAAGACAGCATCAGTTCTGCAGCAAAAATTTTTTAGTTTTAACTATTAAAAATTATAATCCCAAGTAAAGATCTGCAGCAGCCAATGTGAGCTATACACAAAAAGTGGAGACCAGAACTGAGTCCACCTCTAACTTGAGGAGATCTGAACAGAAAGCATATTAATTTTTTAATGAAAGAACAGCATTTTCACAAATATTCAAAGTAAAACAGGGTTGGGTGGGTTTTGTTTGTTTGTTTTTTTGGAGGAGTTTTGTTGTTTTTGTTGTTGCTGTTGTTTTTGGTGTTGTAGAAGAAAAGCTTTCATTTTATTTAAATATGTTTGTCAAGATATTTCCTTTGTGGGAAAATTAGCTGTACTCACAGTCCTCCAGCTAAGTCCAGAGGAAGTTATAAAGGCTCTGGCCTACTAAGATAAGAAACCTGGGAAATACAGAATTCATTAAAAGCTAAAGTGAGTAGACATCATAGTAACTGGTGTGAAGGGGGCAGATATACTGCTTGGAATCTTCTTCTTAATGTGGGTTTTGACTTTGCAAATGCTGTTCTAAAGTTATTTTGTGGAGATGAGCATTTTTCTTTCATATATTTCTGCATTTTCAAAAATCAGATGAGGGATTTGATTGTTACTTGGATTTGGTCTCAGACTGTTATTTGCTCAGAATTTTGAATTATTCATCAGTGAAGTTAATATCTGGTTTTAGAAACCCAATTAGAAAGAGACTGGGTGCAAGAAGGCCGGTTCTGGAGAATCAATCAACCCTGCTGTCTCTTCTAGGAGATAAATTTCAATTAAATTAAAACAGAGGACTCCCAGTTCATGTGCGCTGGGTTTTGTTTTTAGTATCATGCAGAGAGAAGAGGCATTCACCCAGGATGCAACTGATGAGGAACCCAGATTTGTTTGGAAACAAGGTAGGCTCAGCTGAGAGTTGGAGGGGTCCCACTGCAGCACCATAGTTGCCCTCCAGTTTGTAGAGGTAGCTTCAGCCCCAGAGTGGCTGCAGGCTAAGAAGGCATTGTCCTTGCTCTCCCTGTCAGAGTTTGCTCCTATGGGATCTCTCTGTTGAAAAGAGATGCTGTGCCTTACCAAGATTTCTTGATATAAGTATGGAAAACACTGGTATAAATGACTCATCATTGCCTACATTTATAATATTAGATTTTTTTATATTGTAAACCACAGTCACCATATTGGGAAGTATCAAGTTCTTACTTTTTCAACTTTTATGCAATGCATGAACTTTCTAAAGGAAAGTTAATTTCCCCATGAGCAGCTCCTGCTCCTCTCTCCAGTCCATATCTCTGATAGAGGGGTTCACAGCTGTCTTCCCTACCACCCTACCAGCAAGGGCTAATCCTGGCTAACTGTTTGGGGAGTTACTCACACAGGTTTTGTTCTGTTACACTCCC